GCCACAATGCCTGGCCATTTTTTGGTTGCAGCCATCATTGTTGTTTGGCGGCCCCGGCCTGGGGATTCGAACCTGCCACTTTAGGTGTATGTGGCTGGCGCCTTAGCCGCTTGAGCCACAGGCACCGAGCCGCTTTCCAAGAGATATAAAACTTCTTCTAAACACTGGGGCAGGGTAGGGCAGGGAGAAACACTGATAAAACTCCTGATAAGTCCCTGCATTTTGAGATTACATTTTTATAGAATCAATGATCATTTAAGATGATTGCCCATCTTTTTGATTACCAAATATGAACTGATTTAGTTTAGTAGCTTAAAGCAAATTAAAACATCATAATTTTATTTCTTATGCAGTAATTATGAATAAATATTAAAGAGACTAGATACATACCACCAGTTTCACGAGCAAGTACAGTGCACACCCGAACCTCTGCAGACAATCCGATAATAGACACTCTAATTTTAGCTGCCTTTAGGGTCTTCACAAAATCCAAGTAAACAAGCAGTTTTAGGGAAAAAAGAAAAACATTTAAGAATTACTGTATTTGAAAAATAAGCAATACTCCCCCCAAAAAAGAAAAATAAGCAATGCTTTGAAAATTAGTGATGAATTCACTATAGAATTCTCTTTAGAGCTGTAACTTTGTCAAGTGACAGAACTATTGCAAAATAAATTAAATAAGAGTTGTAACTTTGGTATTGATTTACTCAGTCTACCTTGATTAGGTCATAAATATTAGATGGATCACAAGTCGTAAGGCTACTAAAGATGATTAGGACTTCTCTACTTGTGTGTCCAGGCATGTGCCTACAAAAAGATAAAATATACTCCAATTAGGTATAACAAATTACATTAGCAAAACATTTACCCAGCAAGAATAGTACATATAAGTTTATACATTTAGACTAAAAAATATCTCATTTATGTCTCTACAGCAAGGAAAAATTGTGAGTATATTTGAAACATTTTAATGTCCATTTTCAAAAACAAGCTACATGCAAAAAAATCACTGATTGATTCATTTAGTGATGATTAAGTTACTCTCCTATGCTGGGCAAGACCAATAAGATTCCTGACATCACAAAGCTTACAGTCTAGTAAGCTTGTTTTTAGTTAAGTCTAAAGCATGCACTGAGAAATAAGACAAGATCATTATGGATCAACTTTATGGTATATAGGTGTGGATTAACAATAGTAACACACTTTTTCCTTAAAGACTACCAACAGTATCTCCTTATCTGCAGGAGCTACATTCTAAGACCCTCAGTGGATGCGTGAAACCATGATAGTACCGAACCCTACTTATCCAGTTGTCCCTTGGTATTCTGAGTGTAGGGGGACTGGTTCCAGGACATCCTGAAGATACCAAAATCCAAAGATGTCCATGTCCCTTACACAAAAAGGGTGTGCAGTACTTGTATATAACCTCTGCACATTCTTCCATGTACTTTAAGTCATCTCTAGATTACTTATAACACCTGAGACATGTATACTATTTAAGTAGCTATTATCCTGCATTGTTATCCTGTCAGGACGAGGAAAAAAATTCTGTACCTGCTCATAATTACCAAAATGTGACACAGTACCAAGTGAGCACATGCCATTGGAAAATGGGGCCAAGAGACTTGCTTGATATGGGGTTGCCACAAACTCTCAATCCTTTAAAAAATGTAATATCTACGGAGCTCAATAAAGGAAAGCACAGGCTGGGCACAGTGACTCCTAGAACTCTGGGAGGCCAAGGCAGGAGGATCACTTGAGCTCAGAAGTTCAAGATCAGCCCAAGAAAGAGTAAGATTCAATGTCTACTAAAAATATAAAAATTAGCCAGGTGTGGTGGTGCATGCCTATAGTCCCAGCTATTCAGAAGGCTGAGGCAGAAAGATTGCTTGAGCCCAGGAGTTCGAGGTTGCAGTGAGTTGTGATGAAGTCACTGCACTCCATCCTGGGAAACAGACCCAGATGCTTTCTCAAAAAAAAAAAAAAAGAAAGAAAGAAAGAAAGAAAGAAACTCTCAAAACAGTAAAATCAGGTATGCCTATACATCCATACCTATAATAAAGTTTATTTTATAAATCAGGCATAGTAAGAGATTAACAACAATAACTAATAGTAGCAAATTTATAATCGTATGCCAGCGTCACTACTCCAGTGCTTTGGGGCACTAAGCCAAATAAGGGTTGCTTGAACACAAGCATGGCAATACCAGGATGGTCATGCTGATAGTTACTTACCTATAAGTAACTAACAAGCAGGTAACATATATAGTCAGGATATACAAAGACAAAGGGATGATTCACGTTTCAAGGACAGAGAAAGAAGGTGCAAGATTTCACCATGCTATTCAGAATGGCATGATTTAAAATTCAGGAACTATTTATTTCTGGAATTTTCCATTTAATATTTTAGTCCCATGTACAACTGAAACCATGGAAAGCAAAACCACAGATAAGAGGGGACTGCTATAAATTAAACTCATATTGATTTATAGTCATAACAATCACAAAGATATAGCATATGTATATGTATAACATAATTAAACGGTGGCTTGTGGGGTTTTAAGATGTGCAGAGCTGTTTTCACTTGCACTAAATAGAGATTACTATGTTTTCTAGAGCAATTTTATCAGTTAGTTACAGCTTTCCTGGTTTATTTTCATGGTTATACTCTCAGCTCAAACTTGTAGACCCTGCTATTGTGCTTACCCTTACTACATGTGTTACCTCCTCCTCATCCACTTCAAAACTAGAAAAACATCTATTATAATACCATGTTTACCCGAAAATAAGACCTACCTAAAAAATAAGCCCTAGCAGAGTTCTATGCATTTACTAAATATAAGCCCTACCCCATAATAAGCCCTAGTGATGGGTGTGGCTATGCAGCATATCTGCATTTTCATGTGGAACTGTAAGGAAGACTGGCATACCTTTTATCTGCCACAGCTCCTTTCTCCCAGCCATTTGCACACGTGCAAGCGGCCAGGGGAAAGGAGTTCACGCATCACTAGCGCCAGCCCCACCAACAAGGTCAGCTCCCCCGTCAGGTGCCAGAAGAAGATGACTTAACTGTATTTGAATAAATGTAGAGTGTTGTATTATACTTAATAAAAATAAGACATCCCCTGAAAATAAGCCCTAGTGTGTCTTCTTGAGAAAAAATAAATATAAGACACTTTTATTTTCAGGGAAACACGGTATATGTATAAAGTCTGAGCCAAGGCAGACTATCCAGAGATAAAATATATGAGCTCTATATTATTTCCTTGGGGGTCTTAGCTATAGCCCACATATTTGAACTTGTCGGAAAAGTATGATACTAATTTACAGATCCATTACAAAACAAATTAATAAATGTAAATAAAGGACAGTCAACTCACAAGTATTATACCACATTAAATTCTACATAGAATCTATTTCAATAAAACATTTTTTTCCACCAAACTATTTCTTTTGTAATACTGATACTGCCTACAGTTTTAAGGATACCTCACTTAACAAAATGTAAAATAAAAATTACTGATAGAGGCTCAGCACCTGTGGCTCAAGTGGCTAAGGCGCCAGCCACATACACCTAAGGTGGCAGGTTCGAATCCAGCCCGGGCCTGCCAAACAACGATGGCTGCAACCAAAAAAAATAGCCGGGTGTTGTGGCGGGCGCCTGTGGTCCCAGCTACTTGGGAGGTAGAGGCAGGAGACTCGCTTGAGCCCAGGAGTTGGAAGTTGCTGTGAGCTGTGATGCCACAGCACTCTACCCAGGGCAACAGCTTGAGGCTCTGTCTCAAAAATAAATAAAGAAAGATCTTTATAAAAAAAAAATTACTAATAGACATCATATTAAATATCATAAATGACAATACTTTTTTTTTTTTTGAGCCAGAGTCTCACTATGTCGCCCTTGGTGGAGTGCCGTGACATCACAGCTCACCAACATAAAAATTATAGTAACTCTTGGGCTTCAGTAATTCTTTTGCCTCAGCCTCCCAAGTAGTTGGGACTATAGGCACTCACCACAACGCCTGACTATTTTTTTGTTGCAGTTGTCATTGTTTAGCTGGCCCGACCTAGGTTTGAACCTGCCAGTCCTGGTGCCAGCACCCTAACCATTGAGCTATGGGTGCCATGGCATCACAGCTCACAGAAACCTCGAACTCTTGGGCTTAGGCCATTCTCTTACCTCAGCGTCCCAAGTGCCTGGGACTACAGGTGCCCACCACAACACCCAGCTATTTTTTTGTTGTAGTTGTGGTCATCATTATTTAGCAGGCCTGGGCAGGGTTCGAACCTGCCAGCCTTGGTGTATGTGGCCGGCACCCTAACCACTGACCTATGGGTGCCGATCTGCAATACGTATTTTTCCTAGTTAACAGCTTTGTTATGGCTGGGTTTATAAAGACCCATATTAACATGCTATCACTTTAACTCATACAAAGAACTTCTAAATCAACTACAAATAATAAATGTAAAATACTAACTTTAGAGTTTGCATAGCTATGCTTAAAGAATTATACAGAGATGGTTCCCCATGGCAGGTCATATCTACAGCTTTCTTCAGGGATGCTATGTGCTTCCTCGGGTTTCCTAAAATAGAAATAAAATAATCTACTTTTAATAAAATCCTATATATACATTGTAAAAATTCGTTTCTCTCAAAATTTACATACCTATGACATTAAATAACAGGCTCCCTTGAATTTGTATTTCTAGCAAGTTGTACTCTTATTATTCTTTTATTTTTATTTTTTTTGAGACAGAGCCTCAAGCTGTCACCCCTGGGTAGAGTGCTGTGGCATCACAGCTCACAGCAACCTCCAACTCCTGGGCTTAAGTGATTTTCTTGCTCAGCCTCCCAAGTAGCTGGGACTACAGGTCCCCACTACAACACCCAGCTAATTTTTGGTTGTAGTTGTCATGTTGTTTGGCAGGCCTGGGCTGGATTCGAACCTGCCAGCTCTGGTGTATGTGACTGGTGCCTTAGCCACTTGAGCTACAGGTGCCGAGCCTGTACTTTTATTTTTTTTTTTTTTGAGACAGAGCCTCAAGCTGTTACCCTGGGTAGAGTGCCATGGCTTCACTGCTCACAGCAATCTCCATCTCCTGGGCTCAAGCGAGTCTCCTGCCTCAGCCTCCCAAGTAGCTGGGACCACAGGGGCCCGCCACAACGCCCGGCCATTTTTTGGTTGCAGCCATCATTGTTGTTTGGTGGGCCCGGGCTGGGTTCGAACCTGCCACCTTAGGTGTATGTGGCTGGCGCCCTAGCCACTTGAGCCACAGGCGCCAAGCCTGTACTTTTATTTTTTGAGACACAGTCTCAACACTGTAGCCCTTGGTAGAGCAAGGTCAAAGTTCACAGCAGCCTCAAACTCCTAGATTTGAGCAATCCTCTTAGCTCAGCCTCCTGAGTAGCTGAGACTACAGGCACCTGCCACAATGCTGGCTAGTTTTCTCTATTTTTTGTAGAGATGAGGTCTCACGTCTCTCTCTTGCTCAGACTGGTCTCAATCTTGTGAACTCAAGTGATCCACCCACCTCAGCCTCCCAGAGTGCTAGGATTACAGCCGCAAGTTGCACTTTTATCAAAAATATTTAGCAATCTCACTTCATACTTAAAAACAGAACACAAATGAATCTCTTTATCCACTAGCACATATACTTTAAAATAATGCTAATCTAGGGTACAGAACTTTTTACTTTTAATATTTTTTCTGTCATTTTTAGCCCCAATATATTTTCACATTTTAACATCTCTGAAGGGCGGTGCCTGTGGCTCAAAGGGTGCCAACCCCATATACTGGAGGTGGTGGGTTCAAATCCGGCCCTGGTAAAAAACTGCAAAAAACGAAAAAGAAAAACATTAAAAAAAAAAATCTCTGAAATCAGCATGTATTTTACAATCACTGTGAGCTGGACAGCATTTGTGACACAGTTGCCATTGCCTGCTCATGTGCACACATACAAATAGCTCTTCGTTATCCATTTGCATTATGTATATTGTACTCTTCCTGGTACATTTAATTACCATTAAAATGTTTTTAGGCAGGGTGTAGTGGCTTATGCCTAGAACCCTAGCACTTTGGGAGGCTAAGGTAGGAGAATGGCTTGATCCCAGCAGTTCAACACCACCCTATGCAAAAGTACGACCAAGTCTCTAATAAAAATAGAAAAAATAGCCAGGGATGGTGGTGCATGCCTATAGTCCCAGTGACTTGGGAGGCTGAGGCAGGAGAATCACTTAGGCCCAGGTTATTGAGGGTGCTGTAATCTATGACACCACAACTGCGCTCTAGTCTGGGCAACAGAGCAAGACCCTGTCTCAAAAATAAATAAATAAATAAATAAATATTTTTAGAAATGTTATTTTTTTAAAGGCTATATATATTATACTTTTTCTTTTTTTAGAAACAGAGTCTCACTTTATTGCCCTTGGTAGAGTGCCGTGGTGTCACAGCTCACAGCAACCTCTAACTCCTAGGCTTAGGCGATTCTCTTGGCTCAGCCTCCTGAATAGCTAGGAGTACAGGCACCTGCCACAACATCCGGCTATTTTTTCGTTGCAGTTTGGCCAGGGCCAGGTTTGAACCCGCCATCATGTGTATATGGGGCCGGCACTCTACTCACTGAGACACAGCTGCCGCCCTAAAGGCTATATTTTTATGTGTAAAGGCAGGGAACAGAGCAATGAAGTTTAAATTTATTATTTGTGAGGCAAATAATCATTGATGGAAGCATGTATGCAATTCCTTATTTTTCTTGGGAAAGAAAGCAGGAGCTCTACAGACCTAAAGATTTCCACAAATACACAATGTTGTGTTATACTGTTACTGATGTAACAACTGAAAAGACTGCCTAGCAAAGCAAAGGAAGGAGAAACTGCCACCTAGTATCCTTTAGAATAAGTGACGGATGTGTGAAATCACAAAGAAGCTACTGAAACCAATTCCACTCATCATTTGATACTGTGTTAAAATTCAACTGTTAAGGGCAGCTCCTGTGGCTCAAAGGATTAGGGCGCTGGCCCCATATGCCAGAGGTGGCAGGTTCAAACCCAGCCCTGGCCAAAAACTGAAAAAAAAAAAATTCAACTATTAAGGCTCGCTCACAGCCGCCTCAAACTCTTGAGCTCAAATGATCCTCTTGCCTCGGTCTCCCCTGTACCTGGGACTATAGGAGCTTGCCCCGATGCCCAGCTATTTTTAGAGATGAGGTCTCATTCTGGCTCAGGCTGTTCTTAAACCCGTAAGCTCAGACAATCCACCCACCTCCACCTCCTAACTAAGATTACAGGCATGAGCCACTATGCCCAGCCAAGGCTTTTCCTTCTTAATGCATCATAAAATAAAGATATAATTGATGGAATCTGAGATTCAATAAAATATGGTATTCTATAAGCATTTTTAATTTTAGCACGGTCTTCCTATTAATTAATGATCACAGGCGCCTTTGGCTTAAGGAGTAGGGCGCGAGTCCCAATATACTGGAGGTGGCGGGTTCAAACCTGGCCCCGGCCAAAAACTGCAAAAAAATAATAATTAATGATCAAAATATCATTTAATTGATTTTACATTTTCTGTCACTATTACATTTCATGTTTCAAAGTGAATCTTTGTAAAGTGATAATTTTTCTTTTTTCATAACATTTCCATAATACAATTTCAAGGAATAACCATTTTTATGCTTTCCTTAAAAATGTTAAACTATTAAATAATTTACAAGACTATCAGCACTGTTAAGAATCAGTTTCTTGGGCGGCGCCTGTGGCTCAGTGAGTAGGGCACTGGCCCCACATACAAAGGGTGGCGGGTTCAAACCCGGCCCTGGCCAAACTGCAAAA